AGAGATGCACGTAAATCTATCTAGAACACAACATGGCAATGCGTATATTTATATTATTGTAAGATTATTCTACATGATGAATAAAATAAAATATCACATATAATGATTACAAAATAGCTTTTCTTCCATTATCTTGTAACAAAGGAACATAATAACATGGTTGGTTATCATGTTACTCAGCTACTGTATGCCTCTATTTGAAATATCACTCAGTAGTTTCCGCTTGAGATGATCAAGCTTGCCATCATATTAAGTAGACCCTCATTTACCAAGCAATTCGAACACATATCATAGTCACATTGCTGACATCGTAAGCGCCTTCCATAACAAAGTTTCTTACATTCATCGCATCTCCATTGGTATGATTGAAGGTAGCGAAGGGGATGACGGCTTCGACATTGACTCCTGGATTTACACCTACTTCCGGACTCACAGTGATCAGCGCAAGCATTAAAGTCACAGGTGCTGCAATGATATCGGGACGACGACTATATCCAGAATTTGTGAAAGGAATGTCAGCCAATGCCACAAAGAGAATATTTAATAGCAAAAGACTCACCTTTCCATCTTTCCCACACACGCCGCACCACCAATCTCCATATGATTTTGACTTCATGTCATGACCTGCAAAACATTGCGGCGGTGGTGGGCTGATCTTACTATTCATGGACGCTGACACGTCAATCAAGAGGGCATAATCAATTGCCACCTTGCTTAGTTCCCTGTGTCTTTGAACTTCTGCCCATGATGCGGAAAGGTTACCGACAGAAAGACTACCAAGTGAGAGAGATAGAGAGGTGGTGACCTGATAGGCGAGGGTTAAGAATGCGAATTCGAGAAGGTAAAATTCTTTGACGGGAATATATATGAAATTGCCAGTAGTCGCCATCTAATTGAAGATTAAAGAACAATATGGATATATGTTATTTCTTATTTCTCAATTCAAATTAAAAAAAAAAGGCGACTAACCTTTTCCATCTTTGTCGAATCCACATTATCTCCAACTCCGACGACAAATAAGAAGTTGCTAGACTCCTTGGTGAATAGCCGTGATACTTCTTGGGCGCACCTGTCAATACTTCGGATACTGCAGTTGTCATCGCCGTCAGTCACGACGACAACCACCCAAGGACGAGTACGATCGCCACTACGATGGAAGGTTTCTACGATGTCAACCATACTGTCGTAAAGACGTGTACCACCGCTGGCGACATTTGTTAATCTGTTAAGGGAACGATGAAGTGATGCTTCATCTTTGGTAAAGGCCTT